AAAGAGATCTTCGTTCTAGAAGTATTCTAAAATGAGAAGAATACAACCCCAGGGTTACAAAATGACCCCAGGGCGTACGGATAGGGTTAAGCAAAGAAAGTGCTTTATTTTCTATTTTCTTTTTATTTGAACAGTCGGATGTCTGAAAGGCACTGCAGCTGACATCTTGCTTTCTGAGTCTTTTTCTGTCCAGTACATATTCTGTATGACCTTATGCAATTGCGAGCGCCGTAAAACCCTCTACTATTAAAACCCCCCCAAAAAACTATGTGGGTGAAAAGGTATTAATAGACCTCCTTTTTGCCTTTTGTCTGTTGGCTTCTGTCATTCTGCCTCTTTTCCAAGAGCCAAATAAAAAATAAGGCACCTGCATTCCTGGCTCGTCACATATTTCTGTTGGATGCTGTAAGAAAACTTAAATTACCCTGATCGTCTCTCGCCACATATTTTTCATTTTTGTTTACTTTGAGTAAATAAAAAAGCAGAAAATAAATATGACACTTCTGCTCATCAATGGTGTCGGGAAAGAGAGACAGGCCGGACCATCTCACAGTAGATCTCATTTTATACTAGAGCCTGAAAACTGTTTAATTAAACTCGCAAAGACAGCTTCAACTCAAATTGTGCTACTGCTAGTTGGTTTTCCCACCATTTATTGAGATGATGTGCTTGACTTTGCCATTCAACTTAGCTTTTGAAAAAGCAAGCTATCAAATACAATCCTAATATTTTCAAATGCCACACTGTAACTTCAAATGCCATATTGTAGGAAAAAAAAGCCACTTTGTACCTTCTAATGCACACAAGGCAACTTTTTATTATGATGTCATGTGCACGCGTTTTTATATTTCAAACGTGACACGGTTTTACAGTTCAAATATCACATTGCAATTTCAGTTATTCTCTAAACCCTTGTTTAACCATAACGCATTTTCCACAATTGTGCCCGCATCAGAGACATTTAAGCATCTGATTTCTTTTCGAAAAAGTGCCTATGGTTGACTTAAATTTTTCCATTTTATTTATTTTATTGCACGCTGCCAAGTTGTTCCTTTAACTTTAAATAAGGACTTCCATATTCGGCAAAAGTGCTCTTCTTGTACTCAAACAAATATTTGTCTATTTTTCCTCAGGTCTATTTTGAAGATGTCTTCGGCACACAGCACTGACAGCTTAGAGCCTGTGGACACAGAGGCTGAAGTCATCACCACATATCCCAGGCTGGTTGAATTTGAGGAAACTTTTCGAGATCCTGAGGATGAAGCCTCTCTGTTTAGTAGAATTCCTCTTGTGGTGAAGGGGTACTTCTCTGGATGGGATGTGAAACAATCCCTCAATGGATTTTTCCCCATTATCAAAACTGTTCGAAAGTACAAAGTGAAAGAAGACCTCCCCAATGATGTGATTGCAGGAATTACTTCAGGAGTAATGATGATACCTCAGGGTATGGCCTTTGCGGCTCTGTCCACTTTGCCACCAATTGTGGGTCTGTACATCTCATTCTTCGCGTCGATAACTTATTTCTTCATGGGCACTGGGCATCAGTTATCCTGGAGCTGCATTGCAATCTTAAGTCTCATGACTGCGACGATCCTTGACAAATACGATTCTTCTGTGGCTGGTGAGCTATCATTGGTTTGTTTGAACGGAACTTTGAATGGGCAAAGTGTTCCTGACTCTTTAGGCAGCTTACCAGAAGCAAGCACTGTCGCAAACACTATAGCGGACACTACATCATCAAGTTTAGTGACTGATTACGTAGTCTTACAAAATACAACCCACTCTGGTAGTAGCAAGACAGCAGAAGAAATGGCAGCTATAGTTGCCAAGAGGATGGAAGTTGCTAGTGGAGTAAGTATTGCAGCTGGTTTGATTTTGATGCTAGCATCTCGTGTCGGTTTGTCAAAAATTACACACTTGATGTCAAACTCTCTTATCAATGGTTTTGCAGTTGGTATTTCTTTCCACGTTGTGACTAGTCAGTTGGAAGGTTTACTAGGTTTGTCCATTGCAAAATACACAGGCTTTGCAAAAATAGTAAAGATATGGATAGACATTTTGAAAAAACTTCCTGAGACCAACATTGCAACTTTAATAATCTCAATCATATGCATTCTTGTGATTTATCTGGTGAAGCGATGTATAAATGAGAGATTCAAGAAGCGTATGAGGATTTCTGTTCCTGTAGAACTCTTCGTTGTTATAGTTGCTACACTTATATCCACATTTGCGAATCTGAACGAGACTTATGATGTCTCTGTGGTGGAGGATGTGCCCATTGGAGTGCCAGCCCCGAAGTTTCCAGACCTTACCTTAGTCACAGACTACATCGGAGATGGAATTGTCATTATCATAGTATCGTACGCGCAAACTCTAGCCATGGCAAAAACTATGGGATTAAAGAACAAGTATGAAGTGGATGCTAATCAGGAAATGCTGGCATGTGGCGCCTGTTCTGTGGTGTGTGGACTTTTCTCTGGCTACATTACAGGTGCTTCCATCTCTCTGACCATAGTTCAGGACGGGGCGGGTGGCCGGACCCAGATCGCTTCCCTTTTCGCTGCTGGACTTGTGCTCCTTGTGATCATGGTTATTGGACCATACTTCTACTATCTCCCAATGTGTGTGTTGTCTTCTATTATTGTTGTCAACATGAGAACTATGTTTTTTACTTTCTTAGTCATCCCTGATGAGTGGAGAAAGTCAAGGTATGATTGTGCTGTATGGATCTTTACGTGTGTGGCTACGATTGTGTTGAATGCTGGCATGGGTCTTTTGGCTGGGGTCGTCTTCTCTCTCTGCCTTGTAGTCTTGAGGTCAATGATAACCCCTGTTGTGGAAGCCGGGCAGATTCAGACCGGAGCCTTTAAAGTTGAACTACGTTCTCTTAGTAAATATTCTTCAGCTACGAAGCTTCAGAATGTAAAAGTTCTAAAAATCAAAACTCCATTGTATTTTGTCAATGCCGACATCTTTACCTCAAATGTTTTTCAGAAGACTGGCGTAGATCCCATTGTCTTAAAGAAAAAGATTAGAGAAGCTCAAAAAGAGGTGGAGATTGGAAATAAGGACACGGAACATATGAATGGTACCATGCTAGGAACGGGTCCGGAAGACACAAAGGTCATTGTTCTGGATGCTTCAGAGGTGGCTTTTATAGACTTGATGGGAGTGAAGGCTCTTCAGTTTCTCATCTCAGAATTTGAATCTGTTGACAAAGAGGTTCTCATAACATCCGCTCCTGAGAGCATTTTGCCAATGCTTCATTCTACAGGATTCTGGGCTAAGAATGGAGATCGTCTTTTTCTGTCTATCGAGGCTGCGTTAGCGTCCATAGTGACTGCTGTGGCAACTAAGAAAACGTCGAAAAAGAACGAAACCATTTAAAAATCAGGAATCATCTTCATACAAAATGTAGTTGGGTTTCCTGAAAAAGGTCAAGTTTTTATTTTTCACATCCATATAGCTCATTGTTACAACAAAGACATAGTTTACCTCTTTAGATGCCCTACCTTTGGTTCCTTTTTGGTGTGAGCTTTCGTGAGTTTGGCCTCAATTGTTTTCCATTTTTTCTTTTATCGTTTGCAATGTGTTTACGAGTTTGATATTTCGGCAAGGGCCTTGTAAGAAAATAAATACGTATGTGATTGTGTTTTTAGTTTTTAAAAAGTCTATGTTCATATAATAGATCTATGTCTTTTGTTGTTTTTTCAAATTTTTCCTTTGTGTATAGGTGCTACATATAGCACAGATGAAACTGTACATCAAAATGTTACTGTTCTCGACGTTGGAAGCGTTGATAAAAGGTTTGAATACAAGCTGACTTTTGTTACATTATATTTTGCACTCGATTGAAGGATGACTGTTCTCAGGAAATATATCGCCCACAGCCTGGGTGGTTGAATAAAACTCAGGATTTTCCCAATTATCCATGCTTATTTAAGAATGCTTTTGTTATTCTTCATAAATACATAACTTCAACCTCACGCCTGATTGTTAGATCTTTTCCTCAATTCGTTTCCACCAGGAGGACCGAAGTGACGATGAAAAAAAATTGAACATGTGCGGAGCTTAGGCTGTGTGTGTGTGTGTGTGTGTGTGTGTGTGTGTGTGTGTGTGTGTGTGTGTGTGTGTGTGTGTGCGCTTGTGTGTGTGTGTGTGTATGTGTGTGTGTGTGTGTGTGTGTGTGTGAGAGAGAGAGAGAGAGAGAGAGAGAGAGAGAGAGAGAGAGAGAGAGAGAGAGAGGGGGGGGGGTGGGAGGGGGGGTTAGTGAAAATGGCCCGTGTTCAAAGAAAGTCAAAACAAGGAGAAACATTAACACTGTGGGAGAAGCACCCGTGTTTAATTTAAAATGTATTGAATAGAATCCAGCTAACAAAGAAAGCATTCCCTTCCACACACCTATTTCTTAATTACTTGCGCCACTGAATACGTTACAATTCGTCAATGGATTCTTAAAGTGCTTCTTTCCTTATAACTCAATGAAGTGAGTTCTTACCCTTTTAGTTTGTCTTTGGTCTTTGTTCTTTTGGCAGTGCCAGCCTTGTGCTTTGATCATCACATCGATGACCAAAAGATAATCATTGTGCCAGGTTAAGCTTTTTGGCCTGAAGAAAGGGGCTTCACACAATTATGCTCACTTCACTCCTGTGTTCCAATCTAATCAAATCCGTTCCTCAGAGGGATACATCTTATGAAGAGCAACGTACTATCCATTGGAGGGGAAAAAGGGGGAGGAGGCGGATCATCTGTTCCCTTTCATATCTAAGAAACCGAGATAAGCTCTTGTTTAATGTCTTCAACGTCCTGACGTGGCTGTGAACTCTATTTGAATTGGCTTTTTTCAACCATTTTGGTGGTGATACTAATTTTAAAATTTGTCTTCGGTTCTTACTATTCAGCTGAAATCAGCTAAAAAACTAAATATAAAACTAAACAGTCCTCAAATTTATTATTAGGTAAATCTCCGTTATTATGGATTTTGGTATTTGTACAGCTTGCACATGTACTGGCTGAAACAGGAAATGGCAGCCTATTTGTTTTTATGTACAAGATTTTTTCCTTCTCTAAATAAGAAAAACGAAATAAAACCATAGACACCATCAGTATTCTATTCATTTTTTAAAGTCAACCCAGATCATCTGTTTGGACACTAGTCCTTATGATACGGATTGTTTGATGTCTGTCTGATTAGTTTTTATTGTAATGTTTTTTTGTGTCCAAAAATTCTTTCCCTTTCCCTTTCAAGAAATGACATTTTTAAATACAACTTGATGTTATAAAAATTTTGTTTTTATAAAGACCAGAGGTTACGGAAGTAGTGCGTTCGTGTTATCTCTTTAACTTTCACGCGTTTACGTGTGGTGGAAATTGTTGTATTCATTTGAACTTGCAGTAGCATAAAAATATTGTACCGGTAAGCTACGTCCAACAACAGACAAAAAACGGAATGTATACGGACGCGGATACGACAAAAACAAAATTCTACGAAACAAATTACCATTAAAATTGTATTTTTATTTGTGCCTGTGGCTCAGTCCAAGATGTATTTTGTACTTTAACCAGAAGCAAACTATGTTATAATTTTAGAAGTTCAGACACTTTTTCTGTTCAGACTTCTTTTTTTTGTATGGCACCACTTCCACGGTGACAGTAGGCCTGTATTCTCCGACATGCCAATCCTTGAACTTTCAACAAGTTGTTCTTGTTTGTTCAGTAATGACTTGCTTTCTTTTTTGCTATTAGGATACACCATGACGTAAACTAGGTCAATGCTATGAATTACGTTACTGACATGCTCTCTGGTACTCTAAGGTTAAAAATTCAAAAGGCACATCATGAACCAACCTTCCGTAAATGCAGTCAAAGTACAAAAAAATATCGGTTAGATAAAAAGCATAACCTGTCCGTCTGGTGGGCTAGACTAATTTGGCACGCGTGTCGAGCCAGGTGGAAAGGTAACTAATTGATTTTGCGACAGCATTACTCCTCCCCCCCCCTCTC